TCCTCTCAGCCGTTGAGAGGTTACACTCTTGATGACCGAGAGTTATTCCTCTTGACCATCAAGAGTGTACACTCTTGATGACCGAGAGTTATTCCTCTTGGCCATCAAGAGTGTACACTCTTGATGGCCAAGAGTTATTCCTCTTGGTCTTGAGAGTGTACACTCTCGATAGCCGAGACTCGAGAGTTATTCCTCTTGGTCATCAAGAGTGTACACTCTTGATGACCAAGAGAAATAAATCTTGGCCATTTGAGAGTGTACACTCTTGATGACCAAGAGAAATAACTTTTGGCCATCGAGAGTGTACACTCCGGCCATCGAGAGTGTACACTCTTGATGGCCAAGAGTTATTCCTCTCAGCCATCTAGAGTGTACACTCTTGACAACGGTGCAACAGATACAAGAAATGTATTTGTATTGGATCATATTGTCTTTATTTTGAGCCTGATACCAGTATCAGTATTTTCTTGGTTGGTGAAAAAATTTACTGTCTCGGATTTGGATTTAAGAATGAAAAAAAAATTGTCTTCGTTTTTTTTTTCTTTTTTCTTCAATACGGCCAAATATCTTGTGTATCAAATAAGGCTTTGGTGGGATCAGTCATCTGAGACAATACAGAATACTTGTCTCACTTTTCAAAGATGATACATGTGTATTTTCTCAGGAAAGTGAGACAACACAAATCAGGTATTTTTGGGTATTCAAATTCTGAGACAATACGAATAAACACCTGATACCGTCTCATATTGTCTCTGTTGCACCATTGCTCTTGATGACCAAGAGTTATTTCTATTGGTCATTGAGAGTGTAACTCTCAACGGCCGAGAGGGTTTCTCTTGGTCATTGAGAGTGTAACTCTCAACGGCCGAGAGGGTTTCTCTCGGTCATTGAGAGTGTAACTCTCAATGTCCGGGAGGAATTTGAGATTGTAGCCTTTCAACACCGGGAGGGTCCCTCCCGGCCGTGTGCCTTTCAACAGCCGGGAGGAATCTACCCGCCGTTCTTTTGTTTTTTTCTCAGTGACAACTCCAAACCCCCATGGGGTTTTGGAGTAGTGACTCCAAAAAAACCCTGGGGGGTTACAAAAAGAAAAAATAAAAATAATTTTCTTAAGGGAGTCAACTCCCAAACCAATTGAAGGGTTTGGAGGACCGCCTCCCAAAAAACGGGGGGGGGGGGGGATAGGGGGCCTGATGTCCTGAGGACTGTCCGCAGACAGTCCTCAGGACGTCCCCAAAATTTGGGAGTCAATTAACTAAGTCCACTCAAATAGTCTGCTGAATGCACGTTGATCTAGGTCCAATAAGAGACTGCTACATCTCTGTCAAAAATAGTAAGGGGAATTGGGACCTGCAACTTCTTGATGTTCTTGTCAAAATAGGGTGTGAAACCAATGTCTTGATGGCTAGTCACCGCTCCTACTACCACTATGGCAGAAACAACCTGTCAAAGCAAATAAAATAAATAAATCAAATAAAAATCTAAGTATAAAGTAAAATTATTACATAAGTAAAAGAAACAATATTACTTATGTAAATAAGATAAAAAATACATAAAAATAAATGAATAACTTAAAAAGGATAAGAAAAACTTTAATTATTATTGCAGATTCTGAATCTGAATACAATTTAACCTAGGGTACCTTAGCCAAAGTTACCCTCAATTCTAACTCCTTCACCCTGTAATATACATATGAATAACTAACAGGTACCCTCAGATCACGGGTAATGTGACACTTATGCATTATGCATAATGCATATACTCCAAATCCAGTCACAGAATGGAATTATTGTGTATGGTTTAGAAGATAGAGCAGTGTGGAGTACTGTCTCCAAGCCCACACATCGCGTAGTCATGCTGCGCACCAGTATCCAAGAAATGGGCCACAAAAGCCCCAGAATACCCATTGCACGTGACAACAAAGCCCCCACACGTGTAATAAAAATATAAACAAGCTAGAATATCCATGAAAATACTACAGTAACCATATTCCAATGGGTAACACGTGTAGCAAGCCTCAGAAACCACCTCTGAAATATTCTGTGGCCCATTTCCAAGGAAACTGCTCCACGTAACAGAGTAACCCCCATCCACAGGTTCCCATGAGACATTCTTGGCTGTAATAATTTTTTGCATGACCCCTTGGAGCTTCTAGAATATTATCCCCAAGGTTTCAGCCCTTTTTACGTCACCATGTGGGCCCAAATGGGCCCAAAAGCGCCCCCAAGTCCTACTAAGCTCCCCTGAGCAACCCCTGAGGCCTTCCACAGGTATTTAAAGGGCCTTCTGACAGCCCAAATAATGATCCCCCAGCTTTAAAATACCATATAGAAATTTACTTACCATTTACAAGTCCCCTACACTTGTAATTAGCCTAGTTATTACTATTATTACTGTTATTAAGCCTCAAGATTCCCCCAGAAACTCCACAGTTACCACCCAGCACTCAAAATAAACCTTTCTGAGTGCTTCCAACTTCCCAGTTTCTACCCTGAAGATCCTCAAGACCCCTTAGGATTATTACTATTAAGTAATAACCCTTTCTTGAAGATTTTCCCCTAAAAATTATCTCCTGGGATTTAAACCACACCTGCTACAGGCCCCAGTGTACCATGTACCTAAATCCTGTGCTTTTTACACAATACCTTAGAGGGATTAAACCACCCCTGATTTATCAGGCCCCTCTGGCTTTATTTATATTAATTTTATTGATATAAATTGGCCACTTTTTGGATTTAATCCATAAATTATACGTAATTCTTTTGAATTACTTGTACCCACGGTGGGCCAGTTACACTCACTGTAGTGTTAGCTTTTTAAGCTACGCTACAAAAAAGTTACTGTTAGCAAAAATTTTGGCCCACTAACACTACAGGATTTCTAAAAAAATTCAAAAAAAACTTTAGCGTAGCGTTAGCTGACTGAAAAAATGCAAACTAACACAATCCCTTGTTAGTGAAATTGTAGTGTGGTTAGTGGGCTAAAAAGTTACACTAACTGTTAGCGTAGTGATCCCCTCAGTTACACTAACTGTTAGCGTAACTGATCAAAAAGTTACACTAACTGTTAGCGTAACTGATCAAAAAGTTACACTAACTGTTAGCGTAACTGATCAAAAAGTTACACTAACTGTTAGAGTAACTGAAAAATGAGTCGTAATAATGTGTAGGGGGCTCAGATGTGATGGGAAATGGGCATCAAAAATGATTTTCAGGTAATTACTTGGGAAAAAAGCAGGAAAAAAACCAAGCATTTATTCTGGAGCAGGACATATCATCAACTAAAAATCAAAAAAATTTTCTTTTTGGTTAGGTATGATTAGGAATAAATAATAAAAAGAAAAACTAACTGTAAGAATTTTTTTTCTGGCTAAGCATGATCAAGCATCCAATCCAGATAATTCCCTTAAAATTGGAAATTTTTACAATAATTTTGTTCTGTTCTGTGAGGGGTACCGTTGTTGACCTTAGATCTTGGAGCCCCTACCCTCGAAACTACTCCTTCACCTCCACCTTTTATACCCACAGCCCAAGTCTCACTGCTGCCCCTCATCCCAAACATTTCCTTATTCAAATCCAATCCCTCCTCCCAAAATAGAATTCTTTTTCTCTTTGACCTCCACCTCTATGTAGTGTTAGGAGACTTTGTTGATTGGGGTCAAAAGTAGGAAAAGGCAATGTTGTAGAATTAAACAAAGACTCGTGTGTCGTTCAAGTGTGCATGGGCGGACATAGGATTAAGGAACTGTTTGAGCTTACTTTTTGAAGACAATTCCTATCACTCGATTGTGAAGTAGGGCAAGAGGAGGCCGAAGGGGGATTAGGCAATTTGGGCTAGAGCCAGTTTCCGGGTCAGCAGGCTATACAGATCAATTGCCTTTACTGACCATGACTCTTTGTTGAGTCAGATTGGACTTCGGGACAGTCTATGCTTAGTCGATCCACGAAGCTTTGGAACAACAAACCATCTCGATATCAAAGGCAGGAATTGTGACAAGTCTCCAAGCCAGATGCGCTATCATTGCAGCAGCCAACCCAATCCGTGGCCGATACAACTCCCAAATCGGTGAGTGATTATGAGCACATAAAAAACCATTCACTCTCCCAGGAAAAGAGAACACACTATCTGAGACGGACAGATCTATAGCTCGCGTCTACAGCCTTCTTGCAAAACATCAAGTTGACCGAACCCATCTTGTCTCGGTTCGACTTCTTGTGCGTCGTCAAAGGTAATAGCGACCCCATCGTCGACAAACTCTTGGCTAAGTTTGTCGTTGGTAGTCATCTTAGAAGCCATCCAAACTTGAACCCCGAAGTCAATGAAGTTAATGTCCAGACTTCGCTTGATCAAGACGTAGCTATGAATAAGTGGAGATGACAGTAGAGAAGCCAAGAATGACGTTTTTGTTTCAATTAGATCATTCTTCAAGATGCTCAGGAAGCATATACAATATGCGCGAGAGAAGATCCGACCAAAGCTGCATCAGATGGACCAAGACAAGACGTCAAAATTATTTTTGGAGCAAAGACAGGAGTCATTATCGGGATTGATTGCGATCTTGGTGCGCCATTTAGAGTCGATGATCCGGATGTCGGAGGCGAGTGCAAAGTTGCATCTGCGGGAGTATGTGCACGCGGACAACATTGATCTGGCGGTCCAAGTGGACAAATAGCTTCATCCAATGCCAGAAAATCAGCATCAAGAAACAGCTCGAACGCGGGTTTAGAAAGTATCTCACAGTCGCCGACGATCATCAGGAACTCCTCGGCTTCCTCCTCGGTCAAGTCGTCAAAGAGAAAATTTGGTTCCATATTGGTAAACTGAAGGCTTGCAACGTGGCTCAACTGAGCTTTCTGCTCAACGGCCTGAAACGGTCACTATCAAGGTCTCTGAGCTCAAGGAACAAGTTCAGTCCCCTCCCCCTGCCCTTCCTCTCTTACCTCTACTTGCTTCAACAAAGAAAAAGAATGCTGATGGTAATAACTTTTTGGTTTTATTTTTGTTTTTATCTTTATTTTTATTTTTTTATACTTTTGTTTTGCTGTTGATATAGGCTAAAGAAGATGAAATTTACGATGTCAGACCGTTCTTGAAATCTCTACTCTTCAGTACTAATGGATACTCCTTTCAACAACATGATCAAGCAGGAATGATCAAAAGTTTTGACTCAAATTCAATCCAGAAAGTTCCTCTTTCTCCTCTTTCTCTTCCTTTCCACTTTTTTGTTTGTTTGTTGGTTTGTTTTGGGCCACTTTTTTTGTCGGAGGTTTTTGTAATTGGTTGCTTGTAATCTTATGCATTTGATCATCCTTTTTGGTGCTTGATTAGGGGAAATCAGGAAATAAAAATGTAGAGCCCCTGTTGATTCAAGAATAAAACATCAAAAGCAGACATGGATCAGTAAACACAATTCATATGTAAATTTTTATTGGACTGTTAATCAGGATTGGTCTCAAAATCCAGCTGCTAATTTTGTGTTGAAGGCACTGAATGATCTGACCAAAGACCAGAACAACTACAGCCAGCTCAGGGTTTATGGAGTTGCAATTGTGCTAGATTCATATGATGAATAGAAACTTGGTCCTAGATATATTGTGCTGAATAAATTTGAATGCAGGATAAAATTATCTGTTTCCAGGGTACTCAGAACATTGGTTTCTTATTTTCTTTCTTCTAGGAGAACAGGGCTGGATTTCTGAAGACAAATACCTGAGGAAGCCAGGTCAGTTATTCAAAATTTGACTTTGGACAATACTGTAGTGTGGGTTCAATTTTTGGTCCTTAGCTCAACAAATACCTCAGGGAAAATGGTAATAATCTAGGTACTTTGACACAGTTGTTGAATTCTTGGCAACAATCAAGGGGAAAGGCTTAATTGAGTAGACAATATTTATGTTTGTGTTAAGAGGTCTTGACCTGTAGTTTTTTGTCACAATGAGAAACAGCTCAAAGAAGATTTACACAAGTATGTTGAAGAATCAATCCATAAAAATTCTGAATTTGGAGGGAAAAAGATCATTTTACTTCAACCTTTGTAGGTTCTCCTTGGAATATGAATCAACTATATCAAGATGCCATGACTTTGAGCAGAGACTTTGGTTGGCCGGATTCAAGAAAATAGGTGTTGTCAATAAGTCTTTACTACAGCAACACATAACAACTTATGTTTAACAATAGCATTTTGCAAATTAGACTTCATAGATGCACAAAAATAAAATTTAAATCATTTTTGCTGGGATTATGTAATATGGTTCCTGCCAGTAGTTGTTTATGAATTTATGTGTCAGATCTGAGAACCACTAACAATTATAAACTCATGTTCACAATTGAATTTTAGAGCATGTTTGAGGGGTTCTGGATGAAACATTTATAATTTTCTTGGTATTTACTGAGATTTCAGAAATGCTCAATCTGACAAACCCAAAAAAATTAGAAAATGCTCCTCATAAGATGTTAAAGATGGTTCTAAAATTGAATCATGAACCCCCCTAATGTATGCTTTTCTTTATTGTAAGCCTTTTTCACTAAGCTGAGATCTTAAATGTGGCGCCAGCCACACTATTCCCTAGTTAGTGATAAAAAGAGATAATGAAAGGTGTAAAAAAACACAGATGGAAAATATTCTACTGTTTCTTTTTGGAAAAATCCATGTAAGATCTAACAGCTGTTTGTGCTTTTGCATAATCACCAGAAACTTGAATACCTTTTTTCAACCGCATATGACTACTAACACACCTTTCAATTGTTTGTGGTTTTAATGATCCATGTCCAGTTGAACAAACATCAGCATCTGAGGAAAAAGTCCGTTCAACTGCACATGAGGATGCAGAAGATGCCAAGTAGTCCTTGGCTAATGATGCAAGAACCGGATAGGTGGATGCATGATCCTGAAAAAATAAACATAAAAAAGAAAATCATAATGAGATTAATAACTTAATGCAGGTGATAAACAGAGAGAAATTCATACATTCCACCAAAAAAAAAGCTCTTTGGGACACTTCGTAGAGATTGCTGGGAGGCGATCCATGTTGTTGATATATACCTCAAGCTCTTTGTTTTCTTCTGTTGATTTTGCAGGCTTGCTGAACATTTCAAAAATGTCATCTTCTTCAACTGGAGGAGTTTTCTTTTTGACTACTTGAATATTGTCTTCCTTCTTCTTCAGAACCTCCACACACTTTGCAAATTCTTTCTCCAGAATTTTCTTGGCCACGTCCGCTTTTTCAGGCCAGCAATGGGTGAATAGCCCTAATTGGAATGACAGGTGGAGCAAGGTAGCCATAATGAGAGTTCACACTC